CTTTCAGTGATAGGTATCCAGATGTTTAAAAGCTATGGAAATAATACGCATTGGACAATTGGAATAACTTGCCTAAGGGAAATATATCTTCTTAACTTTTTTCCCTTAGAGCTAAGTTATGCCTTGAAGTAACAGCATTTAAATCTCTTTCCCCTACTCTCCTTTAATTACTTAAATTAACTTGAAATTCTTCTTGAGTTTCTTTACCTCTTGTTTATATGGACAAAGAGCTACGTTAGTATTTCTGCTGTACATTTTTTGTGGTTGTGGAACTGCTTCCTCTTGTCTTACTTCAAAAATTCATGCAAAACTGAGTTAAGTTAAAAAAAAATCTGCCTTCAGAGTTTAAAAGGTGCCTGCTCTACGTGGGCTTTCAGGGAAAGAAACACTTCAGAGTAATACATTATTTCTAGGAACACAGGGTATTCTATTTGAGCCAGTCTTCTTTTTGTCATTTTGTCAGCATAGTTCATGGGCAGCTTGTTGTCTTTGGTCCGTGTCATAAAAGACTGCTGAAAATTAAACAAGTTAAAACAGTCAGTCTTAAATTACTTGACAAAGCTTGCAGGAAGTTAGGGCAAAGTAAGGAGAGAACCTGCATGATCTTCATCCTGTGTTGATGCCCAGGTCGTGAACATTCTTCAGGGCAAGAACAGTATTTCTGTTTTTCTTCAGGGCATGGGTGTACCAGGCTACGTACATTGCTGGTTGCGCTCATTACCCTTCAGGGCAAGGCACCGAAGCAGCATTTTGAATGCGCCACTTTTATTTCCTCTTGCTTAGTCAGGTTTGTGGAGAAGTTGAAACTTATATTCCTACAACTACCTCTGTTGACAATAGCATTAACTGCCACATTGCTTCTAAATTGTGACCTGTTAAGCTTGCAACCATCCATCAATCAGCAATAGCTGCTCGGAGACTACGGCTGGCCGTAACCCTCGGGAAGGTACAGGGCAAATGCCAGAACATGCTTTCATGGGGGTTTAGGATTCCGCTTTGCTGAGCATGGAGAGGGATGTGGAACAGTGATTTGGCAACCTGAACAAAGGAACAAAGGAAAAGTGTGTCGCCTTTTCAGTTGTCTGTCTGCATTTTTCCCCTTCTACTGTTCTGCCCAAGCTGTTGAATCTCCTCTTGAACTGAGAATTACCCTCAGTGATGTCAGATGGGTTTGGTGTCTTGAGTCATATCTGGTGCCTTGGAATATTGCCTATGAGTCATGGAAATTTATGTTTGGTAAACTTGCCCAGAAATGGGAGAAGATATGATAAATCCACATCTACTGGCTGTATTATCAGGGCAGATTTTGAGTAGTTGTCAGTACTTGAGGACTTAATTAATCCAGTAAAACTAGAAGGTCTTTGAATAGGCAGCAAGCATGACAAAGGAAGAGAATATAGAGGGATGCACGGGCACTGGGTGCCGGTAGTCATGGCTTTTATCTTGTCCCTGCAATACTAACACATACCTGCCTTTCTGTTGACTGGGGGCTTGTTTAAACTGTTCTTAAGTTAAAGCCTTTTGGCATTCAGGTTTATTAATTGTACTAGGTGTTCTTATGCTACTGTAATCCCTAAGATATTTCTTGTATTAAAATTTAAAGGAATAAATGTTCTATCCTTAATTATCTTCATTCTTTCAGCCTTCTTTAATGATGAAACATAATAGGCCTAGCCTGGTTTTTAGATGTCGGTATCACTGGAGAGGGAGAGAGAGAATCACATTCGTATGAGAGATATGATTAATATCTTCTTAAATCAAACCTCAGACCTTTCACCCCTCAGTTATGCAGGAGGCGAGGGGTGGGAAGAGAATGGGATTGTTCATGCTAAGCTGCTTGTCTTCTGTGATTGTTTTCAATAGTTATTTTCTGTAGCTCAGCCTGTCTTTATGTAATTATGGCCTGTATTCTTTATTCTTACTTGTGTCACCCCTTTGCATCCGGTTTTATCACAATAATTTACTGCTCAGTTTGCTGAGCCATCTGTATCACTCTAGTTACACTGTTCTTGTTTATCACTCCAGTGTGTCATCTGCAATTTCAAAATATTGAATGTTGTTGGGCCTGTTAGGATTCCCTTGAAAGATCATAAAAAAGAATCCCACCTGTATTGATTGGCTCTCAGTCTAAGTTGTCAAGTTACTGATGGAGTAGAATAGAATAGTTCAGCTGGAAAGGACCTACAAGGATCATCTGGTCCAACTGCCTGACCACTTCAGGGCAGATCAAAACCTGAAGCATGTCATTAAGGGCGTTGTCCAAATGCCTCTTAAACACACACACGCTTGGGGCATCGACCACCTCTCCAGGAAGCCCGTTCCAGGGTTTGACCACCCTCTCGGTAAAGAAATGCTTCCTCATGTCCAGTCTGAACCTCCCCTGATGCAGCTTTGAGCCGTTCCCAGGCGTTCTGTCCCTGGATCCCAGGGAGAAGAGGTCAGCACCTCCCTCTCCACGTCCCCCCTCAGGAAGCTGCAGAGAGCAATGAGGTCGCCCCTCAGCCCCCTTTTCTCCAAACGAGACAAGCCCAGAGTCCTCAGCCGCTCCTCAGAGGACGCGCCTTCCAGCCCTGTCACCAGCTTGGTTGTCCTCCTCTGGACGCCTTCGAGGACCTTCACATCCTGCTCAAGCGGTGGGGCCCAGCACTGCACACAGCACCCCAGGTGAGGCCGCACCAACGCTGAATAGAGCGGGACAATCCCCTCTCTTGACCGGCGGGCCGCGCCGTGTTTGGTGCACCCCAGGGTGCGGTTTGCCCTCCTGGCTGCCAGGGCTCGCTGCTGGCTCCTGTTGAGCCTGCTGCCCACCAGCACCCCCAGATCCCTTTCTGCAGGGCCGCTCTCCAGACACTCCTCTCCCAGTTTAGACTTGTGCCCGGCATTACTCTGTCCCAGGTGCAGAATCCGGCATTTGGTCTTGTTCAATTTCACATCGTTGATGATGGCCTAATGCTCCAATCTATCTAGGTCCCTTTGCAAGGCTTCTTGTCCCTCGGGAGAGTCAACAGCACCTCCCAGTTCAGTATCCAATGAACAGATGTTTATAATGCAAACTCTTTAAGTTGATATTGTACAACAGTAAACTTACTGCCTCAGTGGACTTGTTTCCTTGCTCACAATTCTTATGTGTACGTGTCCCGTCGCTGTGTTAGTCCTTGTCATTATGCATTGTCTTAGGAGCTCAAGTTTAGCTGATTGTTAGCATGACCTGCAAATTCTTTGTGGTACCCACCTCCTACAGCAGAGTTTCTTTATAAATACAAGCCTTGTTTTGTTATTTTTTTCCATTTTGGTGTGATCAGCTGGATGCTTTTAGTCTGTACCTAGTCTACCAGAGTTAAAAACACTGTCCATTGGAAATTGGTTTCTTTCTCTTAGTTAGTTTTATTAGTTAATATTGTGTTATCAGTAGTTATTTCCTATAGTATAGTGTTTAATTCATTTAAGTTTTGTGGGTGACAGAACATTTGTGTCAGTTCTCATTAGCATAACACTGTAGCTGAAATGGAGTAAATTTGATCGTGTTAAAAGTGGCTTCCAAGGGGGAAGGGATTTTTGAGGAAGCCCTTGTATACGGTGAGAAGCTTCCAGCAAATGGGATGCTGATGGGGTCCCTAGTGAGGGAAGAGAAGGCGAGACAATATGAGCAGGAGAAGCTGTGAAATGGCCAGGACTTCCAGGTAATATAAGTGGAAGATGAGTCTGGGTTTGCTAGCCAAATCTCTGTATTAACTTTTACCTCAAGGGGAGAATTGGATCAGCTGAAGGTGAAGTGATTCTGGCCAGTTGATGGTGAATAGTAGTGGTTGGTGATTGACAATTAACAGGTAAATTCCACCCTCTGTCTTCTCTCCTCCAAGTACTTTGAGTTAGGAATCCAGTTTTATCACTGCACATTGCCTGGTGTGGTAAGCCTTTAACCATGACTGTAGTGTCTGCACGCCTGTGAAATAGCGTGTAAAGGCATTACAGAACAGCAAGATGCTCTAGATGTTGGAGGAAGGAACCCATATGCATCTTTGGATGCTGCTGCATATCTGAGGAAAAACAATATTATGGTAAACTTTGCTGCTGGAAATGTTGTTCATTTTATATCTGTGCAGGTCTTCTAGCATTAAGTACTTCCACAGCCCTAGCCATTCTCATGCTAGGCTTTAAACTCTTCCTTTGTCAGGTTCTCTCCCCTTATCTTGTTGCTTTCTTAGTGGTCATCTATGTCTTCGATATTAGGTGTGGATGTACTTGTGCTGGATTAACTTTTGCATTTATTAACTAAAGAAATTATTGTAGCAGTTCCAATTGTGTAATCCATTCCTAAGTCTATTCCCAGCTTGCAGCTTTCCCTTTGTTTCTTTTTGCTTGGATCAGTTTCTTCTCTCTTGAGTTTTGTGTCTCATCACCTTTCAGAAAATTCCTCCAGAAAGTTGTGTCTGAGTTCTTGAGACTTTTTTTATATCCCTTTTTTGTGGTTGGAGGTTTTTTTTAGTGGTTAAATGAACTACGGGTATCATAAAAATCTAATGTATTGTTGCCAAAAGGCAGCTTTTACTACAAAACAGCCTTTGTGCAAAAGAAGTTTTCCCTCAAATATGTGGCGTACAATGTACTTTACTTTGGGTATGTCCCATTCCTGAAATATATGTGCACTTTTTTTGTATCCCTTTTTTATGGTTGGAGGTTTTTTTAGTGGTTAAATGAACTACGGGTATCATAAAAATCTAATGTATTGTTGCCAAAAGGCAGCTTTTACTACAAAACAGCCTTTGTGCAAAAGAAGTTTTCCCTCAAATATGCCCAGGGCTTGCTGCTTATGTGGCGTACAATGTACTTACGTCTGGGTATGTCCCATTCCTGAAATATATGTGCACAATCCTGTCCTGGAATGCTCATCTAATTAAAAGTTAATGAGCAAAGTTCATAATACTCAAATGAAGAATGCATGGTAATGATCTGGTCTTGCTGGCTTAGAACTCACATCTGTCTCCATCCTTCCCATACAGGTGAATCAGCGCAATGTCCCAGGGATCGATAGTGCCTACCTGGCCATGGATACAGAGGAAGGTGTGGAAGTTGTTTGGAATGAGGTTCAGTTTTCTGAGCGGAAGAACTTTAAGCTTCAGGAAGTAAGTTGATGTGTTTCCCAACAAAATGCGGGAAACATACCATGCACCAGGGGGGGATTATAGATATCAGTGACCTTTCATGTGGATTGTTGGCTGGATTTGGAGTGCTCTGCTGCTCAAATGCAGCAAATTCAGCTTAAGCCTGGCCTGTGCAGAAAATGTGATGGAGAACTGTTGCTGTGCTATTTCCCTGGGCTCTTGTGTTGATTTAGTCTTGGTGATCAAACCATGCTCAGCTGAGGTGATCAAACCATGCTCAGCTGAGGTGCCATGTAGGATGAAACCAGATGCTGTTTGTTCTTAGCATAGGAGCTTGAAGTGTACAGTGTTGTTTAAGGGGACAAGAAGGACAAGGGGACAGTGTTGTTTAAGACCCAAGAAGAAAGTAAGATGTGGGCTGACATGGTCTCTGATGTAACATGTCTTTGTCTTTATGATGTTAAGGAAAAAGTTAAAGCGGTGTTTGACAACTTAATTCAGCTGGAACATCTGAACATTGTGAAGTTTCACAAATACTGGGCTGATGTGAAGGAGAATAAGGCCAGGGTAAGTAAAGTGAGCAGTCTGTTAGGTTTTCTCACTGTATGTCCTATAGGTAATTAGTGAAGCAGAGACTAATGTCTCATACTGCACCTACAGGTGATCTTCATCACTGAATATATGTCTTCAGGGAGCTTGAAACAGTTCCTGAAGAAGACAAAGAAAAACCACAAAACTATGAATGAAAAGGTAACCTTTTTTTCATGTATGCCTATTTTCACTTAGTGCCATCAGCCTCTGGAAAGCTCTTTCAGCAGAGGATCCTGATGAGAAGGCAACCTGGTGATAACATGTGGCTGCAATTCCTTTTTATTACTGTAAACTAGTTTAGTTGCAGGTTCTCTTGGACAACTGTTCTGTGCTGTTTGCTTTGTTTCCAGCAGTTCTGCAGCTTCATATGTATGGTGTGACAGGCACGTCCCTTTCCATGTGTGCATATAGGAAAGAGGGAAGATGTCTGTGCATGAGAGGAGTTAGGAGGGGAGGCGTGTTTCTTGACCCATACGAATATGTAGAAACTAAACTGAGCATGAGAGTACTGATGCTCTAAGCTCTTACTTCCTACACACCTGTACTGGGTAAAAGCCACATAATGGGCTATGAATCACAGAACTATGGATTAGTTCCTCTTCCTTGAATGATTTTTATCCTTTTTGCTCCTGTGTCTGTAGGCCTGGAAGCGATGGTGTACCCAGATCCTCTCTGCTCTCAGGTATGTATGTTACTGATCTTGCAGTCTAGCCATCTGTTTAAGTGTAGCCTCTCTTGTGCTAGAATGTTAAAAGCTGTAAACCTACATGCTGCCGAACGTTAGTAAGCTTCATGGAATGGAGCCTTTTGCAGAGCACTTTCAGTTACCCAGCCTGATTCTTATCCCAGTCATGGCCTGCAGGGTGTCAACTGCACTTCCTATAACAATCCCAGAGTCTTCAATTAGACAATACTGAAGCCTCTAAAATAAACAGGTGCAATGTAGGTTTTAGATCCCAACAGTTGCAACTGATACAGTAATGAGTGTGGGCGTTGAGCATCAGGGAGCTCTCCAAAGTATCTAACTTTATAACCTGGATCTAACCAGGGCCAAGAGGATGTTGCAAAGAAGTCTCAAAGAAATCAAATTCCACGTGAGAGGAGTGAGGACAATTTTCTTAGTCTTGGCAGGCTGCAGCCCTGGAGCATGCAGTGGATTCATAATTATTGTGGTGTGATATTGTTAGAAGTGTATGTGGATCTATACATTTCTTGATGATGCAGATCTTCTGCAGCCATCTTAGTGCATCCCAGTTGAATAGAATATGGGTTTTTTCTGTTTTGGTTTTAAAGACTCTTCTCTACCTGAGCCAGAGTTGGTGTGTAGCTAATAACACAGCCTTGGAGGAACAATAACCCAGATGTCAGAGCAAGACTCCCACTCCATAGAGAAAATTCTCTTGCCATTTGGCTAAATATTGCTGTTGATGAACAGTTGGGGTTCTAATAAGCTTTTGGAGCTGACAGTCCTTATTTGTGCTGGCTGCTAACATAAAACCAAGCAGAGTGAGGTGCAAAAACAGGTAGCCTCAAATGTACCTGGGACCCCAGCACTGAAAAGCTTTATTGGTGCCTGCTGGAAAACGTGACCAATCATGTTTGTACAGCATTGAGTGCCTTTTTGATGCCCTATGAGTAGGGCCAGAATAAGGCTCTGATATTTTTGGTATAAAATTGGAACCCTTTTAGCACCCACCGAGCAATATTGGGATGGATGAAATAGTTTCTTTACCCCTGGTACAATGGGTTTCTTGGGAACTGATCAGAAAAAGCTTTCTTTTTTCCCCCATGTTCTGGAGGTTGTTGGTTAGAGACAATTGCTTAATTTTCGTGATTCTCTCCTAGCCTGACTGATGTACAGTCACTTAATTGTATCTCCGTGCTATTGTAAATCCCTGGCATGTGGCCTTTGCCCTTTTGTTCTCTTCTGATGTTGCTTGAGACGGTGAAGGGATGAAGCCAGCGATTCCTGGCCTCAGCCTTGGTAGTCTCCTGACCACTGCTCTGTTCTGCATCTCTAGCTACCTCCACTCCTGTGATCCCCCAATCATCCACGGTAACCTGACCTGCGACACCATCTTCATTCAGCACAACGGACTGATCAAAATTGGGTCAGGTAAGGCTTGTTGGAGGTGACCCTTGCCTATAAGACAAACTGCTCTAACAGAAAAAGGCATCTAATCCCTTCAAGATTATCTGGCATGATAGGCATGTATGTACACGTGTTCCTCCACCTCCACATCAGTGGGGCCAGAGATTGGTAGTGAATTCACCCTTCATTGGACCACCTTCAGGTGCAGGAATGACTGATACTGGATACCGTTTCCCTTGTTAGCCCCTTCCTTAGTTTTTGATCTCAAAGGACTGACCTGAGAAATGGTGCTGAAACTTTCAAGTTTTGTATGCACATTATCCTTGGATTCATCTGCTCTGCAGTCTTTTGAATGTTAATACACGCAGAGTTCTCTTCCCAGTGTTGTGAAGCTTTGAGAGCTGTGTCCACTGAGGACACGAGTGTTCTTGTAGCAGCCAACATTTATAATCAAGGTTATAGACTCTGGCTGCAGCAAGCTGCTTGTCTTGGCATCCTCATCCAGCATCACTCACTTTGGCCTGCACTTCAGGATGCTAGCTTGCCTTGGGCCTGTTTGGCAAAGACATTCCCTGTTCAGGCAGCCACCTGTGCTGAAATGTTTTATTTCATAAGAAAGAAGTGATTTTTCTGGCAGTGCAGTGCATCCTTGCGTACTCTGTTTTTTTCACCTTTGCTATTCCTATGTTTCTAAAAATCTGATTGCAGTCAGGGTGCATTATATTGTACCTTGACATACCCTTTCAAGTGATAGCTTTGCTATCTGTCATGCAACTTCTGCAAGTGTTCTCAAACCTGAGGAGTTTGCACTTGCCGTCCTGTAGGCTTTTGTTTGTGTGAATTCTTGGTTTGATGTTGACAGTGTACAGAAAAGAATGCTCTGCTTTGCCTATCATCTAAAAATAGCCTCTCTTCATAAACTGCAGACCTCTGTGGCTTTTCTTTCCATCAAAGAACTCTTGTGTTGTCTCTTTTTTCCAGAATTGGGGTCTCTGTTTTCTGTAACAAATGTCTGATACATGCTTGTACCCAGGAAGACTGGGTCATGGCAGAAGGAACACTCAGTTCTCTATCTGCTTGTAAACTTGGTGACATCTTGCTCTTCATACAGGCTGATGACATTACGGGGTTCACTTTATTATCTTTCCCTGACTTTGTCCAGGTGGGAAGAATTTCCAAGAGTTGCGTACATTGGATACCTATATGCTGACAAACACAATTGGCTCCTTGGCATTCAATTCGGGCCACTTACGGGAAGTCTATTGTAGACTCGAGTACATGAGAAATCCTTCTCTTTCTAGTTTAGTTTAAAAGTATTATACAGCTGCAATCTTTCTCGTTGGTAGCCAGCACTTTGTTTGTAAAAACAAACGACTTGAAGTTGGTATCTAGAGCCATGGCTTTTTACCAGAGGGGGGTTCTGTGGATCAGCAAATGTGACATTCTCAAGAGCATTCAGACTCCCAGTGGTGCCATTCAGAGGCTGTGTAGAAGAAAGGTGGCTCTTTGAGTGTGGGTCACAAACAGGTGCCTCAACAGAATTACACCTTTGCGTGCTCCCTCCAATTCCATAGAGCGTTGCTTTTATTAGGCACGGTGGGAGGGACAGAGGCAAGTAGACTGATGTGTTCTTTCAAAGAGTAGCGGGTGTCTGTGTGCTGTAACAACTGTATCCTCAGCAAGATTCCTCGGTAGTCCTGATGAGGACACATGCTGGGAGTGTGTCTGTGCAGGAGCAGTGCTTAATTGCAATTGCTCCTGAGCAAACTTTCTTCTACTCCACAGTTGTAGGCTGCCTTGCTCACGTTGTGTTCAGAAGTGAAGCAATTTATCTGGGAAATTCTGGTCCTTTCTTAAGTAAAAAAGGAAGTGAGCATGAATGGACCTGTGGTCAGAAGAGGAATCCTCCAGATGTGAAAGCTATGGCTCCAGTGCAGGCTGGAATTAAAGTTGCCAATGTTGCAGAATGTCGTCTTATTTCTGTAGTGCCCACCCAACTAGGAAAGTCAAAACTACGACATCAGAACTGCTGGATGTATTCGAGCTTGACATTCTCTAGTACCGCTGATGGTGCAGCGGCCAGACAGGCTATTTTCATGTTTGGGCCCTAGAGCGATAGTCGCTTTGGGGTCACTGACAACGTTAGGCCTGTGTTTATTGCTTCGTGTAGTTATTTCTTACAGCTGGCTGATATCTGAGAACTTTCCTGTGTTTGCTTAAAAGAAGCGGGGCAGTAATTCTCACGGATTTAAGGGGAACAATGATTCAGTGCACTATGATCTGCTCTTTGATACTGTCTCTGTCTTCAGCACCATTCTGGGCTACGCTCCTGAAAGCTCCTCTTCCCTTTACTTTAAGCAAAAGAGAATACTTTCTGAATGTGGGGCAAAAATCTGGGGAAAGGAAGTTGCTAGTGTATTCTGCAAAACATCCTTCTGTCTGCTAGGTGAGGAAGTACTAGAAGAGTGGTGCCTGTGACTTGTGTCGCATTGGAAATGGCTGGTACTTACTTGTTCCTGTAATACCTGTTTAGGTGTGGGAGCAGCCCTTTTGCCTATCACTCCTTGCTGCTACTTCAGATTGCAGAAGCACATGCCCTAGCAGGACTGACCATTGTTTTTCTTGTTCTGCGTGTAATTCTGGATCAGTCTTTTTTTCTAGAGCCACCTGGGCACTGCAGGAAGGAAAGAGATTAATTTAGTAGTAGGGTGTTGCTTTTACTATTGCATTGAGTTTTGGGAAGAGGGATGAAATCTTTATATGCTGGGGGTCATCTGTGGAAGAAAAAGGCAGTGGGAAGGAGGGAGGATTTCTCATACTGCTTAAATGCAAAATCCATCCATAATCCATTAATTTACTAACTTTTTTTTTCCAGTGCCATAAAGTACAGGGTTAATAGGTTTGAGGATGGAAAGTATCAAATGAGTGGGGAACTTTGGAGAACTTGTGATGAGGACAGGAAAGACACCTACAGTTTTTAAACTTGCCACTGGTGTTCCCAGAGACTGGGATGTTCCAGCTGCTTTCTGGAATTGTGGTCAGATGAAAACATTCCTTGTTGAGAGGTCCAAGTTGTTTTCTGTGTACTCTTCCACAGGATCCACATGCAACACTATGTTGCATCTGTGCATATCTGTATTGTCTAACAAGTGGACCTGCAAAGGGAGCACGTTATGAAATGTTTTACTGTGTCAAGTTGAAGGTACTGAGTGCGAAGGAGAACAGTGTGTTTAGACAGGGTGTTCGATGTTGCTGCTTGCTTGTGTTAGGCAATGTTGGGAGATGTTTCTTGTAATTCTCACTGGGAGTGTAAGAACCGGTCACAGGTGGAAAGAGGTGATGGTTTGCAATTAAAAATCCTTTGGGCAGCTCTTGGAGTGCCTCAACAGAACTGAAGCCTGAAACTGGAGTGTCTTGTAATGTCTTCTGGTGCGCCTGAGACATAGCCATGTATTAGCATGTGCCGAGTGAGACTTCCAGTAGAGCATAGGGGGAAGCTTAGTGTTGTGCTAGTATATTTCCAGATAATGCCTCCAGGCACTCGGCTGATGCATATGCTTTTCTGTCTTCAACATACCTGACCTCTAGGATTCATTATATATTTAATTGCAGTCTGTCCAGAGTCTCTTTTCAGTTCCAGGCCAAGGTGCCAGGAGATTGAGTCTTACTTGGTATTAACTCTGCTATTAAATAATGTGGCCAGGTATGTAAGTATGGGTTCTGCTGCCAAGATCCATGCCCAGGAGAAGCTGCTGGGATGTAGAGAAAGATAGTTGTCTGCTGAAGGAGGTGCTAAGGGACTGTAGAGCACTCACAGAAAGAAAAGAATTTCCAGCTTCTTGGCCTCAATAGGCTGTAATCTTCTACTTGGTCAGAAGTGTCTTGTCTCCCTTTCCCAGTCTGGTTCTCAATTAGAAACACTAATGTTCCTTATGTAAATTTATTTTAAAAAGGTGGCTGGAGGTAGGGCCAGATCTCAGTCTTGTCCATGTTTTGCCATGATTCTGACCTAGCTGTCTCTATCAATGTTAAGTGCTTGCTGTTTCATCAACTCATTGACTTCTATCTCGTTTTACTTCCCGCTTACGGGCTGCTCTGTTACCAACAGTCTTTCATAGGATATTTGCTAATGGTGAGCAAACTTCTCCGCTCCTGTGATGTGACTACCACTATATATGTAATGTACATTATTTTATTTGTGTGTGTATATATATATTTATATATACATGTGTGTGTATATCTATATTTGTAACACACACAAACATACACATTTTCTCTAATTTATTTATACAGTGTTCCCTTGCTATAAGGCTGGTATGTAAAACTGTTCGGCTTAGGTGCATCCTACTTTGAGACCTTCTGTTCTGTGCCGGGATTCAAACTGCTCCTTGTGCTCTCAGCCAAAGCCTTACAGAGAGGGAGCACTGCCCTTTGTGAAGTGTCCTGGTGGTTAGTTCTCTTCCTCTCCTTGTTCTTACAGCGTGCTAGTCCGTGGACCCTAGTGCATGCCGGCTCCTGCATGTCAAGCCAAGCGGATGCGTTGTTCTGAGCTCTTCCCAGCTGAACTTTCCACATACATTAGGCTCTTTCCTGCTACTGCTCTGCTAGACTTGGCTGGGCACCAAACCTGGACTAGCCTTTGCTTTGTGCTTGGCTATCCAATTGCTTGCTTGTAGTTTTAACTCCTTAGATGTTTTGTTTTTAAGATTAATGTTTCAGTGAATGTGTCTGGCTCCCGATGGCCAGAGAGACATCCCGCCCAAATGAGTCCCTGATTGTGAAGTAAGGTTTACTGTTTATGTTTCCCCCAACAAAGCTCTGTTTTTGGGGAGACTTGTGCATATGAGAAGGGAGTTGGGCTGGCTAGAGAAGGATCTGAATGCTGCAATTTGTAACCCTATTAAATAGAACGCCGCATTTACATTTGAAATAATTATTTATTTTATTTTTTGCCATCAGGGTTGTTCCTGATGGGTAGAATTTGTTTCTACTGAATTGGGAACCTACCAACTGTCAGCTGGAAGTGGTGGAAAGGGAAGGGCCTGTCCAAATGGGCTCTGTGCCGCCTTAGTGTTTGCAGGAGGAGGATGTGGCGTGCTGTTCTGCATCACCAGCAGAGTAGAGGCTCTCTCAAAAAGCTAAATCTGGGATCTTATGTAGCTGAGGGGGAAGTTGATGTAGTCAGGGCTTGCGGCATTAGGAGGGCAGATTTTCCTGGGGATGGCTTGTTTACCAGAGTGCAAGCTGGGCAAGTCGGGCTGTGGCCGTCACGTGCTGGAGGCTGCCTTTGTGGGGTGGAAGAGGCGAGGTGCCACACCAGCAGCAGACAGATTGGTCCAGGAACAAGCCCACAGAGTGGGAACATGACTGAGCCTGGGCTTCAGTGTGGGTTTAGTCACGCTGATGGCAACAAGGCTTACGACTAGCAAGCCATTTCTCAGAAGTCAAGTCACGGCTGCGAGCAGAACAAAAGGCCATTGTTCTAGCAAGGCAAGAAGAGGGCCTCAGCCAGCGGTCTTCAGGCTCAAGAAGATGCTGTGGTATCTCACTTGTGCTGAAACAGCATCAGATGGCCTGGAAATACTGAGCTTTCTTGGCTGGTTTCTTGAGAATTTGTTTTAACCGTACTGTTGTATAACTGTGTACTGTTCATACGAGAGCTGGAAATTGTTTAATCCTTAGATCCTGAATGCTGATTTGGGTTTGAAAACACTAAATATAGAGTATAAGGCTCCTGTTTTGCTTGAGCATTGAGCTAATAAGGTTGTGAGTGACATGCTTTCATAACTAATCTTATTTTAGTCATTACTTCACTCTCTTGGATTTTGTTACCTGATGTTTAAAGACTTGTCATGCTGTTTTTCACATCCTTACAGACACCTGAGACACTTAGTAGGTGATGTAGAAATAAAATAGGGGTTACCAGGACATCGTGGATCTGACTACCTTTTTTTTTTAACTAAGGCGGCTGTGGTTTAGAGAAAAAAATAATGGATAGTTGAAATCAGCGGACGTAGAAAAATATCATACCAGGACATTGTGGATCTGACTACTTTTTTTTTTAACTAAGGCAGCTGTGGTTTAGAGAAAAAAATAATGGATAGTTGAAATCAGCGGACGTAGAAAAATATCATAAAAATGGAAAACTTTTTCACACATGTTGGCATTCATTTCGGAAGATTTAACATGAATTTATGTAGTTTAGCTTCTAGCCGTACAGTTTTATGTGTAGAGTCAAGCATGTCCTCTACCAAGCCAAACATTTTCAGTTGCTTAGAAACTTGGCAAAACTAAGGCAAACTTTCACTAGCAGAAAAAAAGGTTTGTCTCTGACTACAGGTGCTGCTGGGAATAAGATCTGGCAGATGAAGTTTTGAGTGGAACTTTTTTGCCCAGAATGCTTCAGAAAGTCCAAAGTGGTATGCAGGTTACTTTTTTTTTTAATTGTTTTTTAAAGGCTTTGTCTCACCTTGGTCTATGTTGTCTTTGAGACTCCCAGTGGTGTAAAAGCCTGTCATAAAGTGAAGATTCTTCACGTTTGGATTGTTCTCGAGAAACTCTGTTAACAAACTGGTTGGAATAGCATGAGGTTAATTTCTAATTGTAATAAATTGACAGGCATCTCATGACCTAGCTGCTCTAGCTGATTACTAGAGTGGCAGAAATGGTTACCAGAGACCTGCCTTGGTTTTGTATATAAGCACACACCTCAAGGCAGGAGGAGCAGTCATAGGTAAGTGACAATCAGTGGGCTTCTAATTGCTGTGGTTAGTTTTTGAAATTGCAGCTAACGCCTGACTGAATGTATGTGTGTGTTATGATTTAGTGTTTGCATTTGGAGAGAAGGTGTTGGGGTTTTTTGTAAAGTCAGATTTAGTGCTAAGAGTTGGTGTCTTTGGTGGCCTTATTGCAAAGTCACCAAGTGGAATGCATACTTAACAGATTTACCTCCTACTATGCCGTGATGGTAATAAACTCAGTTTTATTTTGTAGAAGGTTTAAAAGTAGGCTCTTGATTCATGTGCTTGCCTTCCTTGCTCAGTATACCTTCTTTGTGCTGCTGTGAGTCATCTAATTCATGAAAACACCAGAAAACAACTATCTTATAGACTGGTGGTCATTTTCAATTAAATAGGATCTTCTAAAAAGGTTTCAGTTTCCCAGTTTAGTGCTCCAGGTTATGAGAACTTGCCTTTTCTGTAGTCAGATTTATTCTTGTTGCATTGAAGGCGCCTCCTACTTCAGCTTTGCTGGATTGTGTTTTTTCTCTGCCTTTATGTGGATTTCCAAGATGTGTCAGGGGACATGTCTTATAGTCATCCAGGTCTTCATCTACCCATTTTAGTATTAGCATGGCAGTTGTGTATGTCCGCTCCTTTTGGGGTCCTTTGATTGAAGGCATGTGGAACATTAGCATTTTAGAAGGCTCCTTCATGCCAGTTCTTGAAAGATCACTTGTAAAATACTTGCTAAGTTTGTATTCATCTATAGGATGAAATGCTTCGCATTCTCCCTAATTCCCGAAGAGTTTTATTTGGAATTTTATGTGAAAAATTTTCTGTAGAAGCAGATGCAGTTGACACAGGAGGAATACAGAGATGCTGTCCAGTCGTGTGAGGATGAGTTAGGAAAGCCAAGCCCATCTGGGGTTGAATCTGGCAAGGGATGTGAAGGGCAGCAAGCAAGGATTCTACAAGTAAACAGCAATAGGAAGGCTAAGGAAAATATTGGCCCTCTGTTAATTAGGGTGGGGGCCTTGGTGACGAAGGACACAAAGGCCAAGGTGTTCACTGTCATCTTTGCCTTAGTCTTTACTGCTAAGGCTGGCCTTCAGGAATCCCAAGCCCCTGAGACCAGAGGGAAAGTCTGGAGCAATGAAGACTTACCCTTGGTGGAGGAGGATCAGGTTAGGAAACACTTAAAAAAAGATTGGACATACCTAAGTCCATGGGGCCTGATGGGATGCACACACAAGTGCTGAGGGAGCTGGCTTATGCTATTCTAAGGCCACTGTCGGTTATCTTTGAAAGGTTATGAAGAATGAGAGATGTTCCTGAAGACTGAAAGAGAGCAAATGTCATTCCTATCCTCAAGAAGGGCAAGAAGGAATATCTGAGGAACTACAGGCTTGTCAGCCTCACCTCAGTCCCTGGGAAGTTGATGGAGCAACTAATCCTGGAAACTATTTCCAAACACAAGACAGACAAGATCGTGATCAGGAGTAGTCAGAATGGATTTATGAAGGGGAAATTGTTCTTAACAAATCTGATAGCCTTCTGCAATGAGGTGACTGGCTTGGTAGACAGTGGGACAGCAAGGGGTATTGCTTACCGTGACTTCACAGATGAGCGGATAGAGTATGGGTTAAATAAGCCAACAGTGCAGTGGATTGAAAACCAGCTGAACATCCAGGCCCAGAAGGTTGTGATCAGCAGCACAAAGTCTAGTTGGAGGCACATCACTGGTGGTGTACCCCAGGGGTAAATACTGGGGCCAGTACTGTTTAACGTCTTCATTGATGAGCTGGACAATGGGACGGTGTGCACCCTCAGCAAGTTCACAGATGATACAAAACCGTGTACCCTCAGCAAGTTCACAGATGATACAAAACTGGGAGGAATGGTGGTACACCAGATGGGTGTACTGCCATTCACAGGGACCCGGACAGGCTGGAGAATTAAGCAGAGAGGAATCTCTTGGTTCTGCAGCTGGGCAGGAATAACCCCACGTACCAGTACATGCTCAGGGCTAGCCTTCTGGAAACCAGCTCTGCAGATCAGGACCTTGTGGTCCTGGAGGACAGCAAGCTTACCATGAGCCAGCAACACACCCTGACAACAAAGGCGGACAACAGCATCTTAGGCTGTGTTGGGAATCTGCTGGCAGATTGAGGGAGGTGATCCTTCTTCTCTCTTCAGCACTGGTGATGCAACATCTGGAGTGCTGTGTCTAGGTCTAAGCTGCACAGTAAAAGAAAGATATGGACTTACTGGAGCGAGTCCTGCGCCGGGCCATGAAGACGATTAAGGGACTGGAGCATTTGTCCATATGAGGAACAGGGTGAGAGAGCTGAAACTGTTTGGTCTGGAGAGGGGAAGGGCCAGGGGGATCATTTCAATATGTATAAATACC